GAAATATTTTAGCAAATGCAAACTGTCTAGATAGAAATTATTATTTATAGCTGGGCATGCTGGCACACATCTGTAGTCCCAGTATTTGGGAGGTGGAGGCAGGCAGATCTCTATGAGTTCAAGGCCAGCTTGTTCTATATAGTGAGCTGTAGGCCAGCTGGGGCTTCAGGAAACCCTGTCTCAAAAAGACCAAAAAAAAAAAAATTATTATAAAATAATGTAAAAAAGATTTGCTCAGTATGTTTAAAATTATATACATTTAAACATTCATGTGGAAAAATAACTCAGAATCTATCTTTAAAATTTTTACTTTGTGAAGTGCATAGAAACTTCTTCAAATGAAATGAGGTACTTTATTGTTTTCTTCAGGAAAGAAAAATTGAGAGGCAATAGGATTTAATGACAGAGATTAAGACAAACAAAATCAATTTTGACTTGTTACTGACATAAGTTAAAAAAATGACAGTACAAAGAACTCTCATACAGTTTCAAAGTGTAATTGATGGAAAACTTTGATAAATAAGAGACAAACAGAAAGGATTATTATCAGGTACCTTGGAAGAATCTCAGAAAGAAAATGCTAAATTTTTATTGAACATATAATAGGGAATCTAAAAGGCAGAGAGCACATGCCCATACTACATTAGTTGTGATTATAATCAGTAACTTATTCCCTCCTTCCTTGCTTTGCTATTGTGTCTGACTGTGTATTTCATTCAAGCTGTTTCCAAACTTATGGGCTTAAGTGAGCTTCCTTCTTCAGCCTCCTAGATAGCTTGGACTACTACTGTGCTTGGCCCAGTCCTTCCAAAAATAACATTTTAATAGCCATACTTTTATCTCTGACTGTTGAATACATTTGCCATTCAAATTACCACGCTTTTGAGAAAATACTTTTCAGCTTTTCATTTTTAATTGCTTCTCAACTACTGGTCATGAGTTGTGAAGAATGGCTTTCTAAGAATATGATTTTACCCTAGACAATCACCATCCTACCTGGGTTGGTGTAGAGCTGGCTCTCCACAGTCTTGCCAATGCACTGAAGCTTAATTGCCTGCAGGGAGTCATCCACGTGCATGATGGTCGGCAGGCTGCCCAGAGTGTCCTGTACCAAGTTGGCCACTTCCCGGACATCAAAGAGCTTCAACAGTTCTGAGTACACAGCTGGGAAGGAACTCAGGAATACAGCCTTAAAAAGAAGAAGAAATTTAAATGAACTCCCATTTATGCCACAAACAGTAGGCTGTAAAATGTCACCGAGTCTAAGAATTGTGACAAACACCAACTCTTACCTAAAGCTAAAAGGACAAAAATTTAAAACCAAAACAAAAGTGTGTAGCAGAATAAGAAAGTTTTTAGAAATGTGCAAAGGAATACCACAATAAAAACAGGAAGCTTCTGGAAAATCACTGACGTTAGCAAAATGACTGGCATGAACACTGCAGAATCAGCAAAATGTGGCATGATTGAATATGTGCCACCAAGTACTGGACTGTGCTCAGTGAGACTGCATTTCTTTTTGGAGAAGCTTTCTGAACTGCTCATTTATATCTCATTCATCTTAAAAAAACAAAACACTCCAGTTCCCTAAAGCATTCAGTGTGTGATTTGGGAGAAAACCCTGAGCAGGACAACAGAAGTATTTGGTTATATGTGACAGTGTTGCTTCTAATTGACACTGTGACACTGAAAGCCATTTCTGACCCGCGGGCTTTGGCTTCACCATCTTAAGATGATCAGAACAGCCCTTACGTTGTTTCAAGCAAGGTACGTTTATTCAATAACAATGATGCATTTTAGAATTATAGTGAAAAAAGCAAATTTCTCAGTGTTTTCAAATTCCTGGCATGCTATTCTTTGAGGTTCAGGGACAATACATTTATTTAGAAACCATTCTTTAATGTTAAAAATGTAAAGTGTTGGGGGCTGGAGAGATGGCTCAGTGGTTAAGAACAGTAACTGTTCTTGCAGAAGACCCGGGTTCGAATCCCAGCACCCACATGGCAGCTAACAGCTGTCTGTAACTCCGGTTCCAGAGGATCTGACAGTCTTCTGTCTTCTGCAGGCACTGCACAACACAGGTGCACTTACCTGCATGTAGGCAATACACACATACACATAAAATAAAAATGATAAATTAAAAAACTTTTTAAAATGTAAGTGTTAATCATTTTATGGGGGAAAATTCAATGTTAATATTAATTCTAAGAAGCATATTTTTAAAACTGTGCTAAGATTATATCTCACAACTCAGCCTTTCTGAAACCCCCAAACAGAAGGTAATTGAGGTGTCAACCAGCCTTAGTTGTACCCAGTGAGGGAAGGGGGGACAAATTTCTAATATGCTGAGGCTCAAGTACTAGCTGGCTTACCAAGGTGATCTGCCACTGTGTGTTCAAGTATACATGTGTTGGTGATTCAAACATAAAGCCAATTCAAGTCTAAGGAGTTTAGTACTTATCTGTTCAGTAGCAGCAAAAAATGGTTTTATTCTTGATGCTATAGCTATTAAAATGTATAACATGGCTGGGAGTGGTTGAGCACACCTTTAAATGCCAGTGCTCAGGAGGCAGTGGCACATGGAACTCTGTGAGTTCAAGGTCAGCCTGGTCTACATAGTGAGACCATAGTTCCAGAACATAGTAGGAGACCCTGTCTCAAAAAGACCAAAAATAAATAAATAAATAAAATTTATAGCATGGGTAGTCAACCATTATGCTTCTTGACTGTCAAAAGTTATAGATTTAACATGTAGGACAGAATATGTTACAGAAACTGTGTAGTATATATACTCGTTAGTCAATAGAAATATTTTCTATAAATAATTGTACTTAAGAGGGCCTCATGTAGCATGGGCTACCTTCAAACTTACTTTGTAGCCAAGAACAACTTTTAATTCCTCAGATCATGCTGCCTCTACCTTCCAAATGCTGAGATGATAAGTATGTACCACCACACCTGGTTTACCTGTCTTGGGAATTGAAGGTAGGGCTCTGTGAATGCTAGGCAAGCACCCTACCAATGGAACTACAATCCCAGCCCCTAAATACTTTGCAAATAAATTTTACTATGATTTATTTCTCTTTCCAAATAAAAATTCATGCTTGCTTCTCAAAAATATGCATTTTCTTGACTAAACTTAAAATTAAAAAGTTGGTATTTTTGTTAAAGACTGTATTTATATAACTTCCAGTGCACATAAATGAATCAAATCAAATCAAATTAAATCAATGAGCCTAGCTTTCTGATGACTGAAAAGTCAAATTATCTTCTTCAGGTAGCTCTTAATTTCAGGTAGCTCTTAATTTCAGGTAGCTCTTAATGCTTTTTAAAAATATTTTATTTATTACTACTTTTTTATGTGTTTGAGTGTATTGCCTGCATGTATGTGAGTGCACCTATGTCATGCAATGCCACAGAGGTCAGAAGAGGGCTTCGGATTCCCCTGAAACTGGAGTTAAGGACAGTTCGAGCTGCCGTGTGGGTGCTGAGAATCGAACCCGGGTCCTCTGCAAGAGCAGTCAGTGCTCTTAACTGCTGAGCCATCTCTCTAGCCTTCATTCTTAACTCTTTATTTAGACCTCTTTCCTTCAAAAAATGTCCGAATGTGCCTGAAATGTGAGCTACATATATGAATAGTAAAAAGGATATGGAAATGATGACTTTACGATGAGAGCAGGAAGACAGCTTCACTGGGACAAACTAGGGGTTACTGTTGCAAATAAATAAAAGTACAATTTAGTTTTGACCTTCCTGCTCATGGGGACAGAGAAGAATAATTACTAGGAATTTGCAGCAAGGGCTTGGACCTTCAGTCCTTCTGCTCTTCTACTTCTTTTCTAGTAAATGCTGGGGCAGGCAGCGGTCAGTGCAGGGAGTGGCAAAGAGAACCATGGTAACAGCAGCTTAGTCGGTTCTTGGTCCTACCTGCCCAAGGCAGGGCTATCCAGGAAAGTGCTATTGCCAAGCTGGGCTTTGGACGGGAGGACTAATGAACCTCTCACCAGGCCCGAGAGGAGCAGACCCGTGGAACAGCCATCCATTGATCCAATCTGATAGATTGCTGGGACTGTCCCTCGACTTCCAGGAATCAGGGTTTGCCTTGAGTTATAACTCACATGGAAAAAAAATGCAAAGTAGAGCCAGTAAACTAGGTGACAGCCTTTAACATAGTCTGGAAACGGGCCAGTGGAATCCTTGGGCCTGGGTGTGGTAGATGCAATTCTAAGATGACCCTCATGACATCTGCCCCTAGTAATTTATGTGAGTACATTATGTTACATTGCAAAAATGATTTTGCAGATGAAATGAAGGATGCCGCTCAGCTGAACCTCGATATAGAGGTTACACAGGTAGGTCTAACTTAGTTACAGTCCTTTAGAGTTTCTCTGGTTAGTAGCAGAAATAATGGATTCAAAGCATGGGAAAAGTGCAGCTTATGGTTGCTGGCTCTGAAGCAGCCAAATGTCAAAACATTAATGTGACTCCAAGAGACAGAGCGCCTCTCATTCCTCCAGCATCCCTCTAGCCACAGCTGACAGCCTTCAAGGAAACAGTACCCTTGGCCCTACAAACAAAGGAACAGATTTCTGCCAACAGTCTGAAAGGTCTGGAAGACATATTTGTCTCTAAAGTCTCCATATAAGTAATTAAATCCTGATTTTGACTTTGGGCAACTCTAAAGAAAGAACTCAACCAAGCTTGTCTAGACTCCTGACCTGTAGAATTATGCCCTAATAAATAAGTGCAGTTTAAGGCCATGAAGTCATTTGTTACACATAAACAGAAAATGAACACATTGCATCAACCAAATTATTGACATCCTACTTTTTGAAGACTGGTATGGAGTCAAAAGAGGACCTAGTATGGGAAGAATGTATTGGGAACCTTATTACCAAAGTATTGAGTGTGCCATGCTCTCATTGCTTAATAAAGAAAATGAATCTTAAAAGCTTTCTCTTTTGAGTCAAAGTAAAAATAAAATGATCATATCAAAAAATGTATAAATGATATTTTATAAAGAATGACCCATAGAATTGCAAACATATTTAGAAACTTAATATACTTTAAAAATAATAGCTAAGCCGGGCGTGACCTTTAGTTCTAGCACCTGGGAGGCAGAGGCAGGTGGATCCCTGTGAGTTTGAGGCCAGCCTGGTCTACATAGTGAGTTCCAGGCCAGCTGGGGTTACAGAGACCCTGTCTCAAAAAGACAAAAAACAAAACAAAACAAAACAAAACAAAAAACAGCTAAAGTTGTTTCTAAAACTTGACTGTAAAAGCAAACTTCAAGAACAATGAGCAGTGGAAGTCACCATATTGCAGAAAGCAAGGTTGCTGTACCCTGAAGTAGCACAGTGACAGGAGCAGCTAGGGTTCAGTGGAAATACAGTGAACGCAGAAAAATATGTCTATAGTTTTTCAAGAGGAAGAAAAAAAATCTCTTGGGTCTCTAGCATGTGAGAAACAATGATTTAAAGTTACTCTTGAGAATAGAAAAATATTTATCAGGTATACAGACAAATTTGTTCTCTACAACTGAGAAAAGCTGAAAGAAAAATTTCAGGATGAAATCCTAATTGCGAATGCTTTTGCAGTAGTAAATTCTGAGAACTCTAAGGACTACGTAGTTAGCCTACTGGATTATCCTTGTCAAATATCAACTGCTGCAAGTCAGGTCTGGCAAGGCGGCAGTTTGCTATTGAGGTCTCTGGCAAGTTCCTCTGATAAAGTGATTGTATTGTAAACTCCAGAGCCCTAATGACATTTAGAAGAGGCTGTGTTACATCCTGGCCCGGATGGAAGATGGATTCACATCTATAAAGAAGAGAATGACAAAACTAGCTGCCTAAACGGTCAGGAAAAGTACAGTGTGCTGTAATCTTAGGGCAGGTGTATTTCTGGTATTGTGCCACTACACAGTGTGTCTTCTAAATACTGTGCAACAAAATCATAGCAACACTTCTACGATTTGGTTTTGTCTAATCTCCCATTTTAAGCTCCATTTCTCAGGGCTTTAAGATCTCTAGCTTCCAGGGCATGATAAGAGGCTGGTTTTCCATCTGACAGGGTTTAACCAAGTCATGGGAATTACAAATATTCAAGGATTAAAATAGAGAAGCAAGGTGTGGTGTGGTTACACATGCCTTTAATCCCAGTACTCTGGACACAGATGCAGGCAGATCTCTGTGAGATTGAGACCGATTTGGTCTACATAGCAAGTTCCAGGCCAGCTGGGGTTACAGGGATACTGTGGCTCAAAAAAAGAAAACAAAAGAAAAGAAAAGAAATTATAGAGATATAGAGAAAGATTTTTCAGTGCTGTCTCTTGGAACATATAAAGGCTATTTGGAAAGCAAATGGATCCTGAACTTAAAAAATAACAATAATGGGGGCTGGAGAGACAGCTCAGTGGTTAAGAGCACTGACTGCTCTTGCAGAAGACCCAGGTTCAGTTAGTTCCCAGAATCCACATGGTAGCTAACAACTGTCCATAATCCCAGTTCAAAGGGATCTGACACCATCTTCCAACCTTTGCAGGCACTGCATGAGATGGGTACACTTACATACATGCAGGCAATACACTCATACACATAAAATAAAATGAATAAAAAAGCAACAATAATGGCAAAACAAAAACAAGCCAAAAAAGAAAACCAGAGCCAGTCATGGTAGCCTGTGCCTGCAATCCAACACTTGGGAGGTGGAGGCAGCAGGATCAGGAATGCAAGGTCATTTTCTGCTTTGTAGCAAGCTCAAGGACAGCCCAGGATACAAAGTGCCAGTTTCGAAACAAAGCAATCCGCAATGCATTGATTCGGGTATACTTGTGAGCACACATTCACACAGACACGCTCATTTAAGTCAGGCTACTCCCAGGGATAGACTCTGGCAGCATTAGGCTCAGCATTGGTCTTACAAGATCAGTCCCAGGATGATTATAGTCAAGTTAAATCAAAAAGAACAACATGCAGTTTAGTAGAGTCCAACAGTACGATTCTCAAGCTGATGGATTTAAAGGCAGTACTTGGCTTGTGGAAAAGAACCAGGACAGACTGGCTCTACTAAAATTCCTCCCCCAGGCTGAGGGCAGCGGTGTCCCGCCATTGGTAAGGGTTCTGGTAACTGGAAACATGGCTGATGCAAGAAGCCTTGGAAAGGAGCCCTCTTCTGCTCACTGGTGCTCAGAGCAGAGGGATCGGCAAAGCCTAATCCTAATGATGGTTAAGCTGCAGATATAAAGGCAGCAATGAATTTCTGATGGAGAAACACGCACTCACTCTAGTGTGTAAGACTCAACAACCTGCACTTAGTTTTCTTCTATGCAGCAGAAATGGAAGAAAAAAAAAAAATACCTGTGACTGAGATAACGCTCCAGACCCTTTGCTCTCTTGTGAAAGAAAGAAACGGACTGACATAAGAAGCTCTTGAATACAGCAGCGGAACTCCTCTTCATTTTGCCCACCCGTGGCGAGGGAAAACAGCCTTCGGGACTGAACTATGTACTTGAAGATGTATTCTTGTGCCTTAAAACAAAAGTGTTAGAAAGTTAGCTTCAAAAGACTCTAAGAGTATTTATGTAACAATGACAGCATTAAAAAAGTATCAGGCAACAGTGTTAGACTTTTAAATAATTGATGTGAACACTGACATTTTTGAATGGTATATACCTGGAGAGGGAAAAGCCACTCTTTGCTGTCAAAGAAACAAGACAAGTGAAAAGTTCTTTATAATTCTAAGGACTTATAAACACTGAATATTTTTAATTTTCAAGTGGTTTTTAAATTGAGCTGATGAAAAGATAACTGATGTCAAAAGTGATTTGGCTTTGGTAGGTAGGTGCTCGTGGAATTTTATTTTCAAGCAGATGAAAATAATGAATTGATAATGAAAAATCTTGTTTTAACTTTATGAATGCATATGTATTAATCTACTGATACCACAAAAGATGGCTTTAATATAAATCAGATGACTGCCAGGGCTGGAAACACCCTTAAAAATTTTATATTCTTTTCTGTGGCCATACTGGGGACTGAACCCAGGGTCCCACACATGCTAGACAAGCACATGCCAATGAGCTATATCCCTAGCCAAAAATCTGGATTCTTTACTTGGAAGACTGCCACAAGAGGGACTGAGAGTTGGATTCCATCCTGGGCTACCTTAAGGGACCCTATCTTGGAGAGAGCGAGGAAGAGAGGGAAGAAGGGAGGAGGGAAAGAGAATGAATTTGGGAATTTGTATTCTTGAACCTGTCTGCAGGTCAGACTTTAGCATCTCTGTATGTGCATCTCAGGTCAAGAGACAAAGGATATTAAACCATGAGACCAGTAAAACTCAGGTTTCTTCATGTGATGATCCCTGTTAGGTGACCTTATTCTCTAAGATTTGAGATAAAGTGTTCTCAGAAGCTCTTTGTCAGGTGTGTGAAAGACCCAGAAACTTTTACATTTAACTTCTCATCTGTAGTCTCCTCCCCCAGACCCCCAGGCTCCTGCTAATCCTGGATATGACCTCAAGTGATAGGAGCCCAAAAAGCAAGGCTTCAATTCCAGCATGTTTCAGTGGACAAGCCTAGCAGTCTTTCAAATTTTATCAGCTCTGGAACAGCTATAAACTGATTAAGATCCTTGAATTGGAATGTCAGTAATATATCATCACCAATTACTGTCTATGTAGAGGAAACCAATTAGTCTCAGCATCACTATGCAATAGCTTTGTGAGACAATGCTATCTGTTTTCAACAGCGTGTTATTACCTTCAACACCTCCTGGATATGCTCCTGCCGCTCTGCCTCTGTTATCCTGTCCACGTACCACTTGAGCACTTTGATGAGGTCTCTAATATACAGGGAGAAATGCATAGATTGTACAATTGTTCTAATTCTCAATGAAATGACAACAAATTGGACACTTGCATGCATCAAAACGAAGTTTCTTTCTCTGTATGGTCTTGTATTTTCCTGTCAGTTGGCTCTATAATAACTTTACTAAACCTCCAGGTCAACATCACTACCCTGTTTTAAACTTAAGACAAAAACAGACAACACTGCTGCGGGTTGAGTGTTCAGTCTGCAGGTATCCTGCTCACCCTGTGAGTAGGGCTGCCATGAACATCTTCGACAAGTGCTAATTGGGATTTCTTCTTTCCTGATCCTGTGAACGACTGGACATTTGACCATTCAGATGCAGGTAAAAGGGATAAAGGGAGACATGAAGGCAAACTGCTCCACACCAAGCCACAACCCCGTCCTACTTTGGTTTCTGTTGTTGTGATAAAACACTGACCAAAACCAACTTTATTCAGTTTATAGCTTAAGTTTATCACTGAAGGAAGTCACCGCAGGAGCTCAAGGAAGGACTGAAGCAGAAACCATGGAGAAACTCTGCTCACTGACTTGCTTCCCTACCTTGCTTGGGTATTTTCCTTACAGAGTTGAGGTCCACCTGCCCAGGCAACGGCACTGCCCACAGTAGGCTGAGCCCTCCTACATCAATCAGCAATCAAGAAGATGCTCCACAGGCATGCATGCCCACAGGCCAGTCTGACAGAGGAATTTCCTCAGTGAGGTTTCCTCTTCCCAGGTGACTCTGTAAAATTGATAAAAACTAACCAGCCCACCCCCATGCAATGCATTTATCAATCAAATTCTCTGACCATAAGAACAGGCTTAAAAGGCACGCCTTCAAAGGGAGCAAAATTGATTGTTTTTTGTTTTGTCTTAGGAAACAAAAAATTAAAAAAAAACAACAACCCACAACTCTTAAGATTATAGTCTGACAATGAACTTTGGCTAGTTCCTAATTTCTAAGAAACAGTTCACATACTAGTTTTTCTTTTTCCTTTTTTAATTTTTAATAGTGAAAAAAAAAAAAAAAGAGCCTATATATTTAGAGTTAGCCAGCTGGACTCAATTTAGATGATCCCAATTTTGTTGGCCAGGGACCAAGTCTTCACATAACCATACAAAGCTTAGAGCCTGGTGCATTGCTGTCTTTGGACAATTATTCACAAGGCTGCCTGAAGGCAGGCAGAGCTGAAGCATGACATCATTCACTGCCCTTACTTACTTGCATAGCCTGAGCTAGAGGAAAAGAAGGGAGCTACTATCAAAGGGTAGGCTTCAATAGCTAAACGGCTTGAGGCTGGAGGCCAAGTCTGTACATGATAGTACGAAGTGCAAGGCCTGGTATCCAGTAAGCACTCAGAAAATATTACCAGTAGAATGGGTGACTTTAAGTAGGTAAGAAGGCAAAGGTTGCTTTCTAGTCATGTTTCTTTCTTTAAGATATATATAAACACCCAGGAGCACAGTGATTAAATAAAACTCCTGACAGCAAAATGAAATAACCTGACATCTTAGACCAATGAATACTAAGTGAAAGGGAGATGAGAGGGAAAACTCTAGGTTTTCAGAACAGAATTCAGGAGTTTTATTTTTCTTTTGCCCTAATCAAAATAAGTTCTAGGCATTAAACAGGGGTAGGTGAGGAGCATATGTTTTGAGTGACACTTCAGTGCTGAGTTTCACCCCTGCCCAGGCTCCCTTTTAAGTCTCCTATGCAGCTACTTAGGCAGACACAAGTGCAAAAAGGAAGAGTTTCTAAGTCAATTACAAGACGAAGGGCCTTACCTGTATGCAAGTGCCCCGGCGAAGTGACTCTCAATGTAAGTGTCCATGACAGGCTTAAAGTGATGAAACTTGCTATCTTGCAGCAAATTTATTATGTGGACCTCAAGAAAAAATTGAGCTTTATAAAAATGAATGCAAATCAATTTTTTTGTCCTAATAAAAATAAACTCTTACATTATCAAGTGCATATTTCTGAAATAGCCTCATGAAAGTCAAGATGTGGAGGTAACAATTTTATAATATTTTTAAAATGTGAACTTACCAAGGAATCAAACACCTTAGACCCATATTTTTGGGAATTTTCATCTAAAATTCCAAACAAGGTATCCAGTGTATCTTGTAGAAACTGTGAAATAAAGCAGTTTAAATGAATGAATAAAATATACTCTGTTCTTCCCCTCCAAATGTTCCTCACTTGAATTCCCAAGAGAGCTAAGGAAACAGTATATACCTTAACTATCTCTGAGCCATCAATTTCTTTTAACTTAGAGAGACAGCCTGTGATCTTGTCAGGGTGAGTTCTCCATTTCAAAAGATCAAGCATATCCCCTTTTCAAACAGAAAAGAAATATTAATTAATTGCATTTATGGAGGGCAGTCCCTCTCATAAAAGTGCTCTACATATAAAAACTTAATTTTTAAAAAAGAATTAATTTTTATTTTATGTGTATGAGTGTTTTGCCTGCATGTAAATGCACCATGTGTGTGCAATGCCTGGTGAGGCCAGAAGAGGGCATTAGATCCCCCTGGAACTGTAGTTACAGATGGTTGTTAGCCACCATGTGGGTACTGGGACCTAGGTCCTCTGGAAGAGGAATCAGTGCTCTTAACCATCCTCCATCCCTACAGCTTACATCTTTCATTGTTTATCATTCATTGTTTACCCCTCCCGCACACTGGCACTAGCATTCTTTAGTCTAGGATGGCATTAACTTCAGGGTATTTTAATGACTTCCTCTTTCCCAGTGTTCCTGCTCATGTTCAGTTCTGAGATTAGATGGTGTGCTGTCCAGGAAGGCTTACCTGTAATCTCCAGCTCTCATCCCTTCCTCATGCTCCGACCACACAGTAGCACATAGTTTCACTTGTAGTCTTTTTGTCTATGCCCCAACTTAACTGCAAATTCCATGAGAAAGTAGAGCTGAGCGTGGCCCTACTGTACTTCCAGCACCAAGAATAGTGTAGGCCTCTGACAAACATCTGTTACAACATTTTCTGCCTCTTTCTAGTAAGATGGTAGTTTCTCAGGTGTTAGGAACCTGGTTCATTCATGCTTGGACCCCTAAACAAGAATATTGTGCCTAACAACTAATCCCACCCAGCAGTGAAGGTCTTGATTATCGAAGTAATCCAAACCCTGCAGGACCACACACTTGTCAGTGCACCAGTGGCAACAAATCCAATGAACTGGCAGGTCATCTGGTGAGTCTTTGGACCTAAGAGAGACCGTATCTGGCTTCATAGCTCATCTTCCATCACAGATTGTGGGCAAGCATAGAGTCCCAGTTCTTTTAGTCCTTCCCTTTCTGAAACTGACATGTGGATTCCAGTCTTTTAAGACCTGGAAGGAATAAATTTTCCCTTTGTCTTTCTTGGGCAGAATTTAGAAAGCCTCAGAGAATTGGTTAGCTTCATTAGTCTCCAAAGAAGCAAGTAGTGGTGGTGACTGGAGGCCAATGAGGACAGTAGGAACTGCCAAGATGGGTGCATATAAGGAAGGCACCAAGGAGTCTATCAGGTCTAGCCTCAATGCTCAGTGGCCCAAGAGAGGCACATAAGGGATTTACCACATTGAATAGTGAGTTCACTTCAAAGCTCAACTTTCAGGAGAAACTCAAATGGGGCATGCTGCCAGAGAAAGATCAAAAAGAAAACAGTAACAACAAAAGATTCAGAACTCCACAAAATCAAGAAAATAGGATAAGAAGTAAAATATGAAGTGAACTGGTAGAGAAGCAATGTCTAAAAAAGCCAGATTCAACAGAAAAACTTAGATGGCTTAAGAGTGAAAATTCATTGCAAGTCAAGCATTCCTAATAGGAAAATCCAAACTCTAAAATCCAGAACTGTCTGAGCACTACATGAGGTTTCAAAGGGAAAATCCTATTCCTCCCCTCACACAATGGGTCAGTCAAAATGCTGGCACATAAAAGTGTTGTTCATAATTACATTTAGGCTATGTGGATAAGGTGTACATGAAACCTATGGTTAGACTTTGGTTCTATTCCTCAAAGTCTACTACAAATATCCCCAACCCATTATCTGAAACATTCTGGCCTTAACCTCTTCTAAATAGGAATGTTTACCTACAACAGAGATAAGAAGTGGTAGATTTTGAATAAAAATATGAAGAAATTTTTAAATGCTGATTTTGAAATATAAATTCACTATGTTTTCATTTTAAAAAACCTCAAAATGTTTAATATTCATATCTAACTCAGATATCCTGCAGTATGACTGACCTGTGTTTCAAACTGATTGGTTATATTTACATCAGAATTTCAGTGTGAGGTCTGGAAGAGCTCTATTGCACTCATAGGTGGTTTGCCTCTTCTTTCTCTCCTCCTACTTCCATCAGATTTCAGGATGCCAGCCTTCCCTATGTATTTTCTCCTGCCATCATGCCTCACTTCCCACTCCACCCCTATCCCCCAACCAGCTCTCACTCCTTGCTCTGGCCCGCTCCTCCATGTAAAGCAGAGGCAGCTGAAGGGACACCCATGGTCCTGAGCAATGTGAGGAGTGTGGGGAGGGAAGAGGGACACTGTTGGCCATCAAGTGGCATACCTGAGGCAGCAGAGGGGAACTAGGCTTAGGACCTCATGAACAGTTAGAAAACTGAGTACACTGGTCCAAACATGCCATCTTCCCTGGAAGCAGGCTGATGAATCTCAGATTGTTCATACAGTAGCAAATAGAAGTGAGTCTGTGTGACCATGCTAGCAGAAACAAAGTTTCTAAAGAGACACCTGGGTCGCTTTCTTTGACTATCAGACTACTGAAACAATGGTCCCTAAGAAATTCACATTTTTCCTGAAATCTCATGCAGGGAGAAGAAAAATGCTTGAAGCCTGGTGCCCCCCAGAGGAGGAACTTTTCTCCCAGGAAGAGATTTCACATGGTTCTGACAACTTTCAGAGCACCTTACCGGAGAGACTGAAGCAGAGACAATGACGATGGACAGGACCACACCCTGTCCAGGATTCTTAGTTAAGTAAAACCCTTACATTCTATTTAAACTTAAACCTCATGTGAAGCCCTGGAGATGGACTTGGGACCTCACTGGAACCTTGATTGTTCCTCTTCCCAATGTGGCCACATTAAATAAAATCTCCTTTTGCTGCTTTTCACTATTAATTTGTCTGTGTAATTGGCCTATTAAAGTCAAGACTAACTTGTTAGAGCTTCCGGGGCCCAGGCCCCTACCCTAACATCTGCCATCAGTTATATACACAAAGTATTCAGAGTTCAGGCAGAATTGTCATCTCTTAGGTCTGCCTCATTAATCTGAACATATATTAGCTAAAAATTAGGAGCTAAATTCTACCACTAAAAATATTAATTTTCTTAAATTTTAAATTTTAATTAAGTTTTTATATTCTATTCAAGGAGTATTTAAATATAATCTATGTATGTGGCCTACAAGCATAAATGTAGATATTATTACTATTACCCCTTACTCATGTGTCTGTGTGTGTGTGTGTGTGTGTGTGTGTGTGTTTGCACAGGGTCTTATGTAGCCCAGGCTTACTTTCAACTCATAGCCAAGGATGACCTATAACTTCTAATTCTCTTGCCTTAGCCTCCCAAGTGCTAGGGTTACAGGTGTGTACCACCGTATCTAGCACTCTTTACTCTGAAGAAGCTTAAAGAATCTACTTGATCTGGCATTCAGAAATACCGACATAGTGCTCTGGCCTTGAAGCACTATCCAGCAACAATGTTGGGTCACACACACAGAGTGTAGGCAGACCCACCAGGAATCCTGAAGTGCAGATCTGCTCTCTAAAACTGCTCCTTGAGAGCACATCATTTGCTAAATGTCCAATTGCAGTGTAAATGGGATTTATATATTTTCCCAGTCAAGTAAAATGAATACACACCAATTTAATTCCAATTTGGAACTGGATTGCTTCTACATAGAGATGTGTGTCTAGCATGTAAATGTCATAAAGATCACTGACTTCCTCCCGACTTCCTAACTCCTGAAACACACTATTCATTTTCTGGCTCATTTTGAACTGTCTTACACTGACAAGGTTAATCAAAGTCAACATGGTAAGGAAATATGTATTGTTCTCAAAGAGGCAGGCATCCCACAGAATGCTGATAATACATTCATACAGTCAGACATTTAATAAAATGATTTCATGAATAGTTTATTTTGATATTTACATGAATATTCTCTGGTTTTACAAAGTAGCAACTTTAAATTTTCAGGATTTGGTTCTCCCTGTCTTATGTTTATAATTCTAACAGATTAAATCTAAGCCCTGGTACTGTAGCAAATTCAGGCTGCAGAATCAAATATTCAGGCTGCAGAGTCAAATATTTTGATGGTAGTGAATCTATTGTTAGGTTTACCTGTTGTGATAGGCAGGATAATAACCCTCAAGTATGTCTATACCCTAATATCTAGAAGCTGTATGTTTACCTTACATTGACAAGAAGACTTTATAACATGATTAAAGATCTGATAACAAGGAAATTGAATTGGGTTTTCCAGTCAAATGTAATCACAAAGGACCTTAAAAGATGGAAGAGGGTCAGAGTTAGAGAAATCTGAAGAGGTTGCACTGCTAGCTTTTGAAGATGAAGAGGCCATGGTCCAAGTAATGTGGATGACCTCTAGAAAATTAGAAAAGGTATAAGATTCTCTCGTACAACCTCCACAATGAATACACTATCACTAATACCTTGACTTTAGCTTGGTTAAACTGGTTTTAAATGTCTGACCTCTAGAATTATAGAGTAATAAATTTGTGTTGCTTTAAGTCAGTAAGTTTGTAGTGACTGTTATAGCAACAAGATCCAATAAATATAATCCTGAAACATACAACAGTAAGGTCTATACAGGCACACATCTAACCTATGTAGGATGAATATCAATTCTATGTAAGGCAGTCAATAAGATGTTGATTTTATTATCTTCATAACCTCCACAGGGGTGGACTGGACCCATGGCAAACACTTGAGGTTTGGTCAACATTTTATTTATAATCATTAATTGAGTTTGCCAATGGAGGTTTTGTTTAAGCACTAAACAATTACTTAGTACTGATAAAGTCTAGGATAACTTAACATAACTTTGTGTCCTACATAAATATATTAGGCCTGCATGCTGAAATTGAGAAGGATTTTAAAGTTGGTCAATATTGGGCTGGAGTGACAGCTCAGTAGTTAAAAGCAATTGCTGTTCTTGCAGAGGCCTTGGGCTCTGTTTGCAGCACCCACATGGCAGCTAACAACCATCCTAACTCCAGTTCCAGGGGATTCAATGCCCTCCTCTGGCCTCCACAGGCACTGCATGCATGTGGTAAACTTACATATATGCAGGCAAAATATTCATATACATAAAATAAAAATAACAAAAAAACATTTTTTTAAAAGGCGGTCAATATTGCAACGCTATATTTTGTTGCTTTTTGGTACGACATTCTAAGGCAGCTGTTTCTTTACACAAATGTTGTTCTACAACATCAGAGAACAAATAACACTATGAATGTGAGCTCATAGGAACTTGCAGTGAAATATAATGCCTTATTATGAAGTGATTCTCCTCAATACATTGCACCTAATTTATTAATACGACATCCAGGATGCTAGCCAGAAGCCACATATGGCAACCATGAAACCCCTCAAAATGTTTAATTTACTTCTTTCATTACAAACTGTTTTCATAACAATTTACCAAGAAGAGCTTGCCTTATTAATCATAACTTGCTAAACAATCACTGACATAAAAAGTAATGGTACAGCAGAAAAGCAATATCCATCTAATTACACAAAACACAGGCTCTGTTCACAGCCCGCAATTACCACTGTTTATGCAGCTATAAAACAAGAGATTTAAGATGGCACTTTTTGTCTTTTTTTTTTTTTTTTAACGCAGCTGGGTTTTAATGGTTTATTTGAGGAGTTGTAGCCTGGGATAATTCTGAAGTCCTTCTTAAGTGGCATGCATTGGGTCACTACTGTTTTTGTTTTACTGGACACTTGAACAGAAGGATCAGTAACTTTTCTCATGTAAAGTACTTAAATACTACAGTATTTGCTGAACATGCTTATCAATATTCAGACAATTCATACATGCACGTAGGTATGAGGGTGTTCAAATAAAACAATACCATACATTACCATTTTGTGTGAGTTTTGTGGAACAGAGAAATGACGTTATCCAAAAAGATTCCTTTGTGGCCTTCATGGTTTGATTATTATTCCCAAGGAAAATGACCTTGGAGAATGGAAGTTTGAGGTAGCGGGTGGTATCCTGAAGGTTTGTGTTTTCTTCACACTGTGAAAAAAAATTAAGAATGTGGAGAGAAAGAGAACTCAGGAGAATTATCAAGCACAGTTTCCTTTTCTAGCATCTATGAACTAGTCCTAATGGCTTCAGAAACAGAATTTGGCTTTTCAGGAAATGTCTAAAAGAATTAAGACATTAAGAATTATCAAGCACAGTTTCCTTTTCTAGCATCTATGAACTATTCCTAATGGCTTCATAAACAGAGTTTGGCTTTTCAGGAAATGTCTAAAAGAATTAAGACAATTAAGAGAAATGTCTAAAAGAATTAAGTGTGCTTCTTCCTGCTGGTGTGTTTAAAGAACAGTGCAATAGAAATTCACTATCTGGCATCATTGGTTTTCTTGGCTTTGGTGTCTATTAAACCTGGTATTTCTATTGATACAGTTGAAGAAAAAAAAAAGAGAGAGAATTATGTGGATTTGGACTCAGAGGATTTGAACTTAAATCCTTAGCTCAGTCACTCCCCGTGTGACTCGCCATATCAGGTTATTAATCCACTCAGGCCTTCTGGTATCCTTCCCTAAAACCTCATTGTCTTGTAAGAATTAGATGACGCAAAGTCCTTAACATAGTCCCTGAGACACTGGAAATACCAAAGGAATCACATTGACAATAACCAGGTGTTTACATTTCTCTAGGATGTCATCAAGAGCGAGCTGCTGAACTCCCTCTTTGAAACCAGAAATGAAGGAAATGGAATTTTGGTAAACTATCCATACCACTGTGTGAGGAAAATCTCTACTTCACAGAAAGTGTTAATAAATGTAAAAGGAATTACAGATTTAGAGAACTTAATTTCAATTCCTACTGTAATTATTTCTCTAGTCAAGGATTGTCATTTACTGCTGAAATTGATGGGAGAACTGTTGATGACAAATAGGATGTTCAGATGATACCACATAGCCAACACTCAGATTATATCCCACTGGCAAAAGGAGAAATGTAACTGTACATGGATGGATATGCCCACCAGTGTGGGCAATGTGAAAACAAACATGATCACCTTCAGTACCTTCTTACCAACAGTGTCCCACTTTGGCACTGCAGGAAACACAGGCATTGGACAATATGCTGAACAGTTTTGAAGGGAAGCCATGAAACCAATCTAGAATGTGGTACCTTCTGCAAGATACATGGCCCTGTTTCTTAAGTCAGTGATGTCCAAAAAGGGATGGTTCTAGATTAAACAGCACTTAAGAGACAGAAAGCCTGATATGATCTTGGATTTGGGTAAGACTGACTTGTCTAAATATTATTGGAGAATCTGTACATCAAATTTAGTTCTGAATGAGAATTTAGTGTAGGAAGAAGGGCTCCAGAGGGAGTAGGAAGGGATCAGACAGGGGAAATAAGTGGTTAATCTAATAAAAAAAGATTTTATATATATATTTATATATATGTTTTTATCCATATATATGAATTGTCAAAGAATAAAAAATAGTAAAAAATAATTTGGTGATTGGAAAAAATCTTTTAACCACAAAAGTAGATTTAAAATAAATATACATTTCCAGGCATGGTGGCACACGCCTTTAATCCCAGCACTCCGAAGGCAGAGACAGGCGGATCTCTGGGAGTTCAAGGCCAGCCTGGTCTCCATAGCGAAAACAGGCCAGCTGGGGCTGCAGGAAGACCCTGTCTCAAAAAGATAAAAAAAAAATAAATAAAAATAAAAGTAAAAAAATAAAATAAATATACATCATCTTTATAATTTGTTTAGAAAATCTGTACAGCAAAACATCTAGATAGATATATGCTAAAAGGCCAGCAGATGATGACATAGTATTTTGGTATTTTTGTTATTTTATTTGCATATTTCTTTGTAATGATAAAAGTGATCTTAAATTAAAATCTTGTCAAAAAATACTGTAAAAGATACAGAATTGGTACAACTTAGTTTATTTGGATTATAAAATTTTAAATGTTCTGGGGAAATGGCTCAGTGTGTAAAAGCACTTGCTATGCAAACCTGCTGATGTGAGTTTGGATTCGCAGGAATCCACGTAAAAGCGGGACATGGTGGCATGTCTCTATAAACCTCAGCATTCCCACAGTGAGGTGAGAGGTAGAAACAGGAAGCTTATGGGGGCCAGCCGGCTGGAGTGCACAGCAAGTGGTGAATAAGAGAGACCCTGCCTCAAACAAGGTGGAGGATGAAGACGATACCCGAGGTTGTCCCTGACCTCCACAAGCTTAACATGGCACTCCTGTGTCCTCACACATAAACACATACACACAGAAACACATATACACAGAGCCAAATGTTTTTAAAAATGTAAACCTCCGTGGCATTGCACGACACAGGTGCGCTCACATACATGCAGGTAATACATTCATACACATAAAACAAAAATAAATAAAATATTTTAAAAAATGTAAACCTCATATGAACTATAGTCTTTCAGTTTGTTCAAATATTTCCAGAGCTAGTGTTTTGGTAGTTTAAACACAGAAGCCCTTTGGTATTTGAGTCTATTTTGTGTGATTCAAAAAATATTTTTGTTTTTAATAAGTCCTTAGGAAAGACCTCTCCAGTGACTTAAGAAACAGAATCAGAATATTACAAGATGTTCTTACCAGGAAAACTGCCCCCAAATACGAGTACCAGCATAAGCGTAACAGCCTCTATTTTCTTCTACTGTTATAATTCCAAATCCTTTCTTTTATTAAGATATTTCATTAAGATATAGACAGGTGACTCCATAAAATATACATAGGCAATTTATTATAATGTGAATATATCAAATATGTTCTTTAGAAAACATGTTTAGGCAAGGTAATTAAAATTCTAGACTCCTGTTAGCCCTGCTCCCCCCATCCCTGCCCCTTGTTCCTGGTTTCAGGGCCTGGGGCATATAAAGTCATGCACCCAAATGTATCCCAAGCTATAAGTGGACCTAGTTTACAAGGTTGGTATGCTCTTGTCTCCCATCCCAAGCCTAACTTGTCCTCTGTACATCTAAGTCACTTTCTATGAGACTAATGTTTCACATCAAACCCAATCCAGGTATTCTGTCCAGCTATTTCCAAGTCACCTCCCAAGGGGCTGGACCTGCCTTAGTCTGGAATGCTCCACCTGTTCATAGAAATTCTGGTCCTAGGGTATCTGTCTCTTAATATACCCCTACCCCTGAAAAAAAAAATCCACTTTCCCAGGGCTAGAGAGATGGCTCATCAGTTATGAGGTCTGGCTGCTCTTGCAGAGGACATGAGTTCGGTTCTAGCACCCACGTGGTGGCTAACAAGCATCCATAACTCCAGTTCCAGGGAATCTGACATCCTCTTCTGACCTCTCTGGGAAGCGCATGACATGGGTGTACTTATACACTTATAGGCAATACATTCATACACATAAAATAAAAAATAAAAATAAAATGTAAAAAAAAGTATGTGTGGCAAGACACGATGGGAGAGGGTTTTAAGAGATGTGTGAAACTGAAATAATGTCAAAAGAAATAAGCCTATGCGTCTCATAGAAAAATAGCTAGTCTATATCTTGAAACACAGGAAACAATGACCTAGAGACTGTTCCTTTATTTGATGCATGAGGCAAATAGGATTCAGGGGGCAATGAAAAATAGAAAAAGTGTTCCAGGAGGCAGGCTGTAGGGCAGAGCACATGACAGCAAGGATTTTAGCCAAAAAAGGCTACACAGCCTCTTACCAAGAAATGGAAAATTCAGAGTTCATTCAGCAAGGAGTAAGAATAGTCAACCAAAAGCTCTCTTCCAGAATGACATGCTCAGAAATTCTTCAGCCAGGTGCAATAAAGGCCTATACTGAGGGAAATGTCTAACCAGAATATGCATGAGAGAAAACAAACAGAAAGTACCAGTCTTCTCTATATTCGTTATCTTTCTATTGCTGTGAAAAAACACTGACCAAAACCAACTTGGGGGAGAAAGGGTTTATTTCCACCTACAACTCCCAGGTCACAATCCATCATTGAAGGAAGTCAGGGCAAGATCCTGGAGGCAGGAACTGAAGCACAAACCATAGAGGAATGCTGCCTCTGGTCTGTGCTCAGCCTGCTTTCTTATCCAACCCAGGACCACCCGCCCAGGAGTGGCACTACCCACAATGGGCTGAGTCCTCTCTCTTCAATGACCAATTATGAAAATGCCTTAGAGATGTGCCCACAAGGCAGTCCAAGGGAGATAATTCCCCAGTTGAGGTTTCCTCTTTCCAAGTGTCTCAAATTGACAACTTATGTTATCCAGCACACCTACTCAGGCAAAAAGCCGAGTCAGTGAAGCCTCAGCAATGAGGTTGCACAGTGTGGTCTGGCACTAGTGATTACTGAATTAGAAATGCCAGCTATAACAGAGTCAGAGCTGGGTGAAACACACATATGCCTGCAAATAAGAGTAGTAAGGCATTCCATTGAACGACAGGCCTGTCATCATGGTAAAGTCTAGTTGTAACCCCCAAACTGTAAGGGTTGGTAAAGTGTGAACTGTTTGCATTCTGGTGAACATTCGTATATCTACTTTTGGCTTTGGCAGAGGAGATGCTTTCCCCATCAAACTCCATATAGCAATGGAGCAAGGCAATATGCATATGAAAATAAAGAGACCATCATCTGAGAACTTATTGAGGGACACACAAACACAGCTGAAGCAATACTCATGTTCTAATGGATGTCTGATGGTAGATCTGTGAAGGAAGAATTAATGGAGCTGTTCTTTTAAAGAAAGCTTCCTGAGGCTGCCGCTGGACTGGGGGAACAAAATCACATTATTGTCATAGTAAAGGATTGTTCTATATTTAATTTAATCTGGAATCTGTGCAAGTTATCATAAAACAGCATGCAGTTAATTTATTACAAATTACAGACATTAGAGACAAGGGAGATGAGAACCAGTTATTTTACCACATTTGTGTCTTAGGAGGGAGATGGGCTTCTTTATACTCACAGAAATGTTTGAGGGAACACAGGTGATCTCTATCTTTAAGATTATATAGCTTGCTCACAGTGTATTTTTCCT